CACACACACACACACACACACACACACACACACACACACACACACACACACACACACACACACACACACACACATGCAATGACCATATATTCAGACTCAAACAGCAACATGTTTGTGTTCATGAATCACATGCTCTCACTGCAGCTTGAACACTCACAAGTGACGTACACGCGAGACAAACAAGAAACATGTGAGGAGAGCGGTCAAAACAAACAACCTCAACATCTGCTTTAAAATATCATCTTCATGACGATGCTGCTTAACCAGACTTCCGACTCTGAGCAAACCATGATGCAACAATAAAGAGCAGCTTGAATGTCGTTAGCCTGCCATCAACTACACGATTGTCTTGGGGCCAAATCATGAGCATCCGAGCCGCTGGAACGTCCGACACGTCTGACACACCAGCACTCATCTCCAGCACAGCTTCAGTCAGGCGTCCATCCGATTCGCTGAAACAGACTCAGTCCTGCACTGCCACGAGTTGGGGGTTTGATTCCCAACTGACCGCAAGATTTCAAAAAAATGCATTTATGGTTTTCTGGGCCTCCGAGGATGAAAAGCATCTGCCAAATAGTGTGTGTAATGATGATGTTGTTGCTTCTCAGTCTTGGTGTCGTTTTCGTAGCTCTGGCCATCGGATAGCGTTCTACTTACTCAAGTCAACTGCAGTGATTTGGAGGCGGTGGCTTTACAACAGAGTCTGCTCAGGAAGGAACACAAGCAGCAAGAAAACCTCCACATTCTGACCTGATTAAACTCAACCACTAAAGCAGAAAACACACAGTTTGGGTAATCATTCGACTTCAGCTTCTCTTTAATATTGAGGGTTTGTTTGCAAGCTGCCTGGTCGCTCACGCTGCCTCTCGTACAAGACACCTTTCTAGAAGTAACCCTACAAAATAAATGTTAATAACCCAAAAGAACAATAGCCACAACTATTAAAACCAAAACCCAGATTGTGCAAAACGACTAAACTTTCCTCTAATATTGTCGGCACAGAAGGGAACAAAGTCCTCTTCTCTTAAGTGGTGCAGACAGTGCAACTCCCCACAGAGACAGACTGCACACACAGCAATGCAGCGCTCTGCTAAACTGGTGTTACATAAACAGCTCTGCTGCAGATGCATCTGATCAGTATTTTCCTCAACAATCACAAAGTGCCGCGAGGCATCGTGAGAAACGAGAAAACCGCAGCACAGATCATAACTTACATCTCAATTAGCTTCACGAAAGCTATAAATAGTGTGGACGTGACGGCGGTTTAAAGAATCAATAGATATCATCCTACAACCTGCACGAAACACCAAATCTTAAGAACCCGACATTAAAGAAGAAGAAGCGTGACAGCTGCATGAAACACGGACCTTCAGGAGCTGCTCTGCAGAGCTGATGAACAAATAAACATGGCAACACTTCAAAGATGAAAACCGACGAAACCGGGAGCGAAACAGTTTCTGTAGAAGAGAGAAAGAGTCGTAGTCGGCTGGGTTTTGTCAGCTGTGACTCAGGGCAGGACATGAACTAAAAATAAAGATTAATCCCAAGAAATTCAAACAATTAGTTTGATGAAAACAAGAATAATACGGCGTAACCAGGTGGAGATTGAGGACTGGGTTGCAAGGAAACCGATTTAGTTTTAATTATAAATGGGATTCAGACAATTTATTCATTTAAATTTGTCACATTAGTGAGGTCTCCCCCCTCTTAGTCGACTAATCTGTGGTTTTAATGTTACTTATGGTAAACAACAGATTTAAAAGTGGCGTTTTTGTGCGATTCTTCCGTTTTACAGATCTGTCGATTAAATCAACTAATCGATTACACGACAAAAATCACGTTAATGTGAGTCGACTATTTATTTCTTAGGTGGGGGACAGCTGTAGTATCAGTAGACGTGGATCAGTGAGAGACTCATGAAGTTGGTCTTTTCATAAATCCAGTTTATCGCCCAGCGTTGTCGACTGTGTCAGATGAGCTGTACCCTCGTGTTACATACGTGAGCTCGATGGCAGTAAAGGATACACTTTGATGGCTCCTGACTTTGTTCCGATGGCCATAAGTTCCAGTTTGGGGTCAAAGGCCAAAGCGCTGGGCTGATGAGGGAACCCATGCTCCACCGTCTGAAGAGAAACACAGAGTGAACCAGTGGGAAAGACAAACAGACCAGAGAGAGAGAGATGACACAAGAAAGAAGACAATGAAAACACTCAGATTCATTGTTTTTGTGTGATAATGTCAGACGGACTGTTTAGTCAGCGAGGCGTCAAAAAGGGAGGACGCCCTCCATAAAGTCAGAGGAAAAGTTCTTAAAAAGCTCTCTTTATTACAGACTTTATGAAATGGGATTAACATTAATTCACAGCTTCTCTTTCCTTCTGCCCACGTGAGGAGAAGACACAGCTGGGGAAGCATTTAGATCTAGAAGGAAAGAGAGAGACCGTGACCTGCTTCACAAAGAGGTCTAGGGGGGTCTTTAACGTTTGTGTGGTCGAGTGTCCAAGAAATGTGGAAATTAGGTTTCCAGCAGGGAGCTCAGACATGCGTTGAAACATAGCAAGACGTTGGTTTGTATTTATTTATAAAACCCTCAATGGGAACGTGCAGTCACACATCACTTCCTTGTTAAATTGGAGCTCTATAAATTTTGGGAAACTTGCTTTTAGTGTTTTGGAACATTTTACGACACACGTTAAAACTTTACACAATTGTACATAAAGGTTGATTTAAAAACCACGATTATGAACTAGTCTGCTCCGTTGTTGTCTGGTTGTTTGTTTATTATTTACTTTCAATTGTATATTTAATGTCATAGAAAAAGAAGGCGTGGCCTCAAAAGATTCCTCGAGATTTACATAAAGGTTGAATGAATAAATTAAGTGGCACTTTGTTTTTTTAAATATCTGATGACACACACACACACACACACACACACACACACACACAGAGAGAGACACACATCAAAGTGACCGTCCTGTTGAGAGACCACCTCTGTGATAGTTGTGGCAGCTGGTGCCAAACTTTTAAAAAGTGCGTGCGTGTTGTCACAGTGCAACAAACAGCTCGTGGACTTTAGACGCGATGCACTCTTCAGCCAACCTGAATAAATTGTTTTTCTGACAACCTAAATACACTTTAATGTATTTTGACAATTAATTAGTTTCAGGGGCACAGATGTCTTTGTTCCAGCTTCTCAAATGTGCCGTTTCTCTTTGTCACTCATGATAGTAAATGAAAAGTCTTTGGGTTTCGGACTAATTATCCAACAAAATAAGCAATTAAATATTTCACTCTGAGCTCTGAGAAACTGCGATGGACATTTATCACTCTTTGATAGATCAAACTAATGAAAGACGAATTGATAATGAAAGTATTTGTTAGTTTCAACCCTACTTTCGGCTCTTTAATGCGTTGGGGTTAATTCTGTCATGTCGTCCACTGATGAAAGTCTGGCTTTCAACATCAAAAGAAGTTCCAAAGTGCTCTACTTTTAGACTGACAGCGGCCTCTTCTAACCCGAGTTCAAGGCCGCAGCAGAGCTCAGTGTGGAGACTGTTGGTAATGTGCAAGTCATGTAAGAAGATCACCTGCACCTCATATTTGATTTGCACAATCAATCAATACAATCCACGGACTTCAATCTACCTAAAAGCTCGGGACACTTCAGCTACAGTGGTGACGAGATGCAGATTACTGAAAGTGGAGCTGCTGAAATACATTTCAGCATTGATTAGAGAGGAGGAGGAGAGGCTGATCATGTTGATGTTGGCTTCAGGATGCACACAAACTGCATTACAACCATGTGGATGTGAAATCAAACACTAAAACGAGAGGTTTAGGCTCAAAGCACCACAGAAGCAGACAGGAACACGCCTCCTGTAAGATATGTATTCATGGTGTTGTGGAAGCTTTTATGGAAAATCCATGAAAAGGGTCAAAACTGTCACCACACAGACAGCCATCTTGATCAATATCTGAATGAAATAAATCAACACAACTCACACTATTCTAGTTATTGATCCCCTCCATCACTGACATTATGGTTAATTACAGTGATGTTTTGGTTCACAAAAAGGTGAGTTATTGGTGAAAAGCACCACTTTTGAACGCGGGGCCTCGTTTTTTGGGTGAAAGCCAATTAACACGAGGTGGGTGAAAACAACTGAAGCGCGCGCGCGCACACACACACACACACACGCAAACACACACACACACACACACACACAGACAAAGCCCCCTAAGAGCGTCCTAGTCCAGCCTGCACTAAAACACACACACACACACACACACACACATCACATCGAGCTGCAAACAGAAAAACAGAGGAGGAGGAGGAGAGGCCGGGACTAAATGCTGCAGAGTGCACGGCTTTAAAGGTCCAGTTTAGAGATAGATAGTTTAGTGGAGCAGCAGAAGAGGAGGAAACCCTCTCGCTCCCTTTCTCCCCCCCTCCTCTCGTCTCCTCTCCTCTCCTGTCCCCTCGTCCCGTTACTTTACCTTGTTGAAGGCGAACAGCTCCTGTTTTATCTTCTCTCTCTGCGGGTCGGTGCCCTGCCGACGAAACCTAAACTTCATCATGTTGAAGCCGGGCGGTGTGGAGGCAGCACTGCTGGGAGGAGCAGAGGAAAACACGGGAGAGTTCTCGGACGATGCTAAGCTAAGCTAACCGACTAGCCCATTCAGGCTGAAAGCGACGCTGCTGCGGCTCTCCTCCCTCCTCTCCCTCCTGGTGCTGTTTAGGTCGCGGTGGGTTTGACCACAGTCTCTCTGTCCCCCCCACTCTTGGTTCACACGGACCCCCGTTGTTGTCAACCAATCAGGGCGAAGAAATCTGCGAGCAATTACTCAGACACGCCCACACAGCTAAAGCGCTGTGGAGAGGAGGGGTACGTTCGGTTTGCAGCACGAGACGCACCGGATGTCGTTCCCTCCTACATCCGGTGATACAAAGCGTGAAACGGGGAGTCCAGTATGGAAAATTAAACCATCGCACAGTAAATGACTTGTGATGGTTCATAATGACAAAGCAAGTCAACTTGTTCATCTTCTATTGTTGAAATATATGTTAATATATTTATAACCGTTATCTAAATAAAGCAAAAAGCTGTTTTCTATATTCTCTGGAAACATGTTGGTATCATCCAATGAAAGGAAATTAAGTGGTCTTAAATTTAAATTATTT